TGCAGTTCCGACTTTGCAAATGCCCTCTTAGGGCTTTCGACGTAGGCTCCCGTAAAGCTAACTTCTGCCGTAATGGTATCTGAGAATAGGGTCTTGAAAACTCTATCGGCGAAGTCATAGATAGTAGGTCCACCCAAAGCAATCAAATGGTTAATCTGTTAATGCGTGTTATCATTAAATTATGACATACCAGCTGGCGTCGGAAAACACCATCCGACCATCGTGACTTAAGCCCATCAAATTCTTGCAGGTTGGTTACCCGCGTGAAGATGAGGACCTGAGGGGTGGTCGCTTTTGTGGGTTCGGTGGCTGTCTTTAGCGCGGTCTCCATCTAGAGTCTGATTATCCATCATTTGCTTATGTGTGCGCGTAAGATAGTCCGTGAGACTTTGAAGGTAGTTCTCAACGTACTTGAAGTGCCTACGGCACATGAACTGAAATGACCGCGTTGAATCATGCCGTCGTTTACTGTGATGGATATAGCCTAGAAGCGGATTCGCTGTAGCGCAAGTGCTTACCACCTGACGTCGAGGGCGTCGGTGATCTGGCATTGGGCATTGTTACTTCACTGGATGAAGTACTGTTGTCTGAGTCGTGAAGGAGTTTATATAACATTTAAGCGAATTAAATTCTTACCGACGATGATGAAGATGAAAAGTGAACATCTCCGTGAAGATAATCAGTAAACTTCACCGGTCTCTTCTTCGCGCGCTGTGAACGGCGTCTGCTGGAGTTGTCGTCGGACATCTTAAGTCTGAAACGAAGAGGTCGCGTTTAGCGCCTATTGAACGACTGGTTACTGTTAAATCAGGAATCAGGCATGGTAAAAGTCGCTTCCAGCGGAACTGGAAGCTGTGTTTAAGAGTTTATTTGTAATATGGGATATAGTACAAGCGCATGCAAAACATTACAACAAATTATGTTAAAAAGGAAACTTACCTGCTGGCCAAAATTGAAATTAATGTGGATACTTCTCGACGTCCCAGCGATCATTAATCTCTATCAAGACATAGTGATTGTCCACTGGGAACGACGTGTACTTGCGGACGTTCGATGGCAATGGGCAGCAATGCAATGTGTGTCCTAACTGTGCTTGAAATACTTTGAAATTTGATGAATTTTGCGGATAAGTACAGAAATTCTCAATATTATCGTAATCTACGTAAACCACATGAATATCGCCCGAAGTTGACCGTACAATGTTCTTAACAGCAACTTTTTGTTCAACTTCGCTGTAAGGCACTTCAATGCGCCGGTACAGGGAGCAGGAAATCCCTCTGAAGAGGATAGGCGAGACACTCAATTTGATGATTGATGATGATGATGAGGATGATGATGATGAGGATGATGATTATGATGACGACGATGGCGATGACGATGGCGATGGCGATCACGCCTACTGGAGGGCTGGAGGTGAGATTGTAATGGTTATGCGGGAGGTGCCATGTTTGTCGGTATCGCGGTGACTTTTGTTGCCATGGCTACCCATATGACCATATGGTGGTTGAATGCGCGAAGGCAGTGAGGGCAATGAGGGCGGCTGTCTCTGCTGTGCGTTGATGCTCCAGACACGGGTTCATCGATCTTTGTTCGATAGGTTTGTAAGTGACCAACCAGACCTATGCGTAAGGTTAATGTCGATCGCGGCGGGGCAAGGTTAGACTTAAGTTCTCATTGCTGGTCGAAGGGCGGGGATAGTAGAGGTAGCAAATGACGCGTCGTTGGAGGTGATGGGAGTGAAAGGAGGGTTTCGGTAGACGTGAGGGTTGCGACAGGGAAGATGGTGCCGGTGACTGAGGGCGACGGAACATTAGAAGGTTGAGCATCAGTGATGGGGGCTGTCGCCGTTGTTTGAGTGGAAGCAGAGGAAACTGTAAGAGTGTTCGTAGTTCGGAGGTTTGCTGCATTATATCTGAAGGTGTCCGGCCAGGCCTATCCGCTTACGGAAGATGCGTGGGCAATGTGAGCATGTCGCTAGGACTTGGGCCTTGGTGCTGTTGGTCCGGGGCACTTGTGAGCCATCTTTTTGGCCTAAGCTGTGACGAGCCGGTTGGCTTCATAGATTGCTGCGTCGGTTTTTACTGTTCTTCCTCGGAGCCGGTCGATCCTGGGCGACGTAATCCAAAGTAGTCAAGTTGAATTGGGGTCACTTCAGAGTGTTCTTCTGGGTGTCTTTGTAGAGTCGCCTTTTTCCTCCTTATCGGCAAGCAACAGTAGAGACATCGCAGCAGAACAGCCGTTTTGTTATTTTCTCGTCGTCGATTATCACCAACTGGCCGCCTTACCGTAATTGAATTTGCCTCAGTATGGCGTCGATACTGAGGATTCCGGTCCAATCCATGGCAATTTTCGCACACACTGTCGGTTCCCTGCATCAGGTGGACTCCAACGACGGTTTCCCTGTAATTTACAAGCCCCCTCCAAACTACCCCAAGTCCCTGGGTCAGCGTCTGCTAACAACAGCAGAAGCGACCACTATCTGGTGGAGGAAGCCGGTTTTGTGCGCACTGAGGAACTTCTTGCAAGCACCGCGTTTAACACGGCCAACGGTCGCTTAACTAGTAGTATAGGCAGATGAACATTACCAGCAGAGAAAAGGGGGACTGGAATGACCGTGTCCGGCTCACTAACCATCATTAGTCGGTCATACCCAACCCCATGTGGTGCACCAGCCGAAACCCGAAACCGCAACTTGATCAGAAGTCCAATGCTCTAACCACTGAGCCACGGGCCCATTGCCCTCTCGATTTAGATCGCGAGTAGTGACCTTCGTTGATTGACGCTCATTGATCGCTAATGGAACTCACTCGTCCTGTGCTGTCTTGAGACTTGCTCTCGAGCCCAGCCAGCGGCTGCATAGCGGCTAATGATGTAGGCAGATGATTCACTGTGTGCACTCTTCCACGCCGTCTATCCCCCCTTCCCCTTGAATGACTTCACCTAACCCTCATTGTCGCCTAATCCACTGTCCTTTATGGTCCCCGCCCCCACCACTATTCACACAACCCACTTGTATTAATAGATGAATATTATTGATCTCATGTCTTAACTTATCGCAGGGGGCTAAGTAAGTTAAACCCTAGCAACTGTGATCCTCAGACCATGGTTCCTTAGACGAGAAGTCAGTGAAGGCTAGAATAGTAGGAATAGCTTATTCTGTATACGGAGGGACGGAGAATAAGCAGGAAGAAGTTTGACTTCAGAGCGCACGACCAACCAGGAAGCCAGCCGGGGCCTAAGTACCGGTTTAGCAGCAGGTATGACAGCGGCCAGCGGT